AGATGGATAGATGGATAGATGGATGGTTAGATAAATATAGGTAGATAAATAGATAGATAGCAGTTACGTCTTTAGCTAGGCTTACGATGGTTTTGCACGGGATTTGCAGGAGTCTTGTAGATATACGGGTCTTGGAAGGCTACTATTTTCATGAGTCTGAAGCAATTTACCGACTTATCAGAGATGTTTAGGAGTGGTTCACAAGGCCATTGAATATAATAGAGTTTGCATAATGGATTTACAGGGTTTCGCATGTGTTTGTCGGATTCTGTTATAACTCGTAGAACAACCATAGTGAATTTATGCATAATGGGCTCACGTTTCGTGCGAGGGTTTCTTCCGTTTGAAGGACTGTATACGGGCATATTGATCTCTAAGCGTCTTCGCCACCATGTCGTTAGCCTTGTTGTAGTCAGCCTTGAATGTTGTTGGTTTCTGTTGGAGCTACGCTTTAGGGTTTGAGGTTTAAGGTTACAGATCTTCCTTAAGTTTGTTGCCTTCGTTTGGCTTGGTATTCTTGTTCTGAAGTTTACCTTAAACCCAAAGCCCTAAACCCTAAACCGTGGATCCCTTCGGGTGTTGAGGCAGCAAGACAAGCAAAGACATGGATATTGGATGTTGAATTCAGGATTTCGGGTTTAGGTCCTTACCTTAAGGACGACGTGAACCCTAAAAAGCTTTAAGGTTCATATACCCTTTACGGCTTCATCGTATAAGAGTATCGGGCCCCTGCTATTGAGGCTCATGTGGTCCTTAAGGTAAGTGTGCTGAAGGACTTGTGCGGGAGCTGTTTCGCGCTTTGGGTAGGGTAGAGGTGTCGCATGGATGGGCATGGGTTTAGGGTTTAGGGACTTAGAGTTTATGGCCTGGTGGCTGCAAAATCCCTAAACCCTATACCCTTAAACCCTAAACCCTAAACCCAAAGCAGCATCAGCATCATCCACTTCAGGAGCCCTGTTCCACCTACATAGAGACTCCAAAGCCCCTTAATTAAGGAAGATACCTTAAACCATCATAGGAATCCTAACATGATTTAAGGTATATTCCTTAATTAAGGGGTTTTGGAGTCTCTGGGTACATAGAGTTACTTCCAGACCTAATTTAATGAAACCTCACCAAGACCTTGCAACGTGCCATAGAGCCATAGAGCTTAAGCCCCGTAGAAGCCTACAATGACAGGCCTTAACCACCCCTCAAATCCCCATAGAACCCTATAGCCCTAAACCCTGAACCCGATAGCCGTAAAACCTACTAAGAAAAGACAACCCTTCTTGACTCTTGTAGCCTGTCCCAGCCTGAGCGCCTCCTGTGTTCAGGCTCACCGCTGGAAGCAGTCATCGAGGTGCATGATTTGACGACTGAGTGTAGGGCAATTGAGTAACCTTCAACCTTCTGGAGGTACTCGAATCCCTATATCTAAATCCTAAAGGTTCAGTTTTTGTTTGCCTAGAGTGCTGGACGAGTAAGACTAGGGTCACGAGTGTGCGAAGTTTTGTTGGGGTTGTAAGCCTCTATTAAGTAACAATGAAGCTGCCGTCAACCTGACTCAAAACCTCAACCTTTTCCAAAAATGTTAATTAAGCCGCCCTCAACCGTATTGAAAGGTAAACTGCACTCGGCCCTAAACCCCAAACCGTTAAACCCTTGATAAACCTTAAACCCTAAACCCCTACACCCTAAATCCCTAAGCCCCTTAAGCCCTAAACCCCTACACCTCTAAACCCTAATCGCGCTCTTTACCTTAAACCCCAAGCTGTCCTCAGCCCGGGACCATACAGTTTTTCTGGTCATAAAGGATTGGGGTGTAGGATTTGAGAGCTTTGGGTTTAGGGTTCAGGGTTAAGGATTTAGGGTTTAGGATTTAGGGTGTAGGGCGTAGGTCGTGTAGAACAGAGTCGTTTCCGCGACATGACAAACTGCTAAGCCCCAAACTCTGAACCCCATACACTCTAAATCCATCTAAAGCCTAAGCCCCATATACCCTAAACCCTAAACCCGAAACCCTAAACCCTAAACCCTAAACCCTAAACCCTAGACCCAAACCCTGATCACCTAAACCCTAAGCCCCAAACCCCAAAAGGCCTTCACCCCTTAAACCTATAACCCCTACACCTCAGAGCCCGTATAAACCCTAAGCTACAAATAAATGAATACTTCAATAAATAAATAGAGAATCTATATATATATATATATTCACACACATGTGTACATATATATATATATATAAAACCCTACACCGTTCTCGAGGTGGGACACTTGGAAAGCGGATTCTTGGCTCGAGCTGGATCATAGCCCCCGAATAATGTAGGCCCCAGGCCTTCTTGTACTGATTTTTTTATAAGGAGATGGGGGAAGCTTTTTAGGGTTTAGGGTTTAGGGTTTAGGGTTTAGGGTTTAGGAGTAGTTGTTAATAGTACTCTCTGAAAGATAGAGTGTTTACATAGCTAGACAGATCGATCGATTGAAAGATAGCGCGCACGTGCAGACCGATAAACCTTGTCTTGCCAAGTGTCTGGGCGCTCCTTGCTATCATGCTGTGTCTTGCTTTGGGCTTATAGGTTTTAGGATAACGGCAACACCCCTCGTGGCTATACGCGGGCTTCTTCGGAGATGGGGTGCCTCATTTTTTAGGGGTCCCTCCATAATTAACAAACCGGGTGTCCAAGACCCACACCAGTGTCCCACGGTTGCATCTTAGCTTAGAAGCTGGAGCTTGAGAACGCACCGACCCCTAAACCCTAAACCCTAAAGCCCTAGAGCCCTAAACCCTAAACCCTAAAACCCTAAACCCTAAACCCTAAACCCTAAACCCTCAATCCTAAAGCCCTAGAATCCTAAAACCCTAAACCCTAAACCCTAAACCTAAATCCTAAAGCCAAACCCTGAAACCCAGCAGAAGCTCCAGGGGACCCGAACTAAGGCGCCACAAACGAGACCAGGCAGCCACTTGGAGCACGGAGGACCTCCAAGCTTTTAGGGTTTAGGGTATAGGGTTTTAGGGTTTAGGGTTTATAAATAGGGTTTAGGGTTTAGGAGCAGACGCAAGCGAAAGTAGCGAAAGGTTTCTTAGGGTTTAGGGTTGCATGCATTCGTGGCGGTGTCGTTGAGGGTACAGGCTGGTGGAGGGTTTTTGGGCTTCAGTGGTTCAGTTCAGGTGCTGCAGGATGAAATGTGCTGTAGATTCGACACGGCTCCCTGATAGAGGATGTTTTGTGGGCCCTTACTCGCACCTAGCACGGTAGGTATACCAGAAATCCGAAACTAGTGAGACTATCCCCGTAACAGTGTCACCTTTAAGGGACCTCATAGTGTGTGAACACCACACCCGGAACCCCAACCCTAAACCCTAAACCCTAAAACCTAAACCCTAAACCCAAAACAGCACCCTAGATCTCCAACCCTAAAGAAAACGCAGACCACATCTTAAACCCTAAGCCCTCCCGAAAACTTGCAGCTCAAACTCCAAGCCCGAAGCGACCCGGAACACCGCCACAACAAGCACCTCTGAAGCCTCTTGAATAAGACTTTACATCCTTGGAGGTAGGGGTTTAGGGTTTTAGGGTTTAGGGTTTAGGGTTTAGGGTTTAGGCATCGAATGCAGCTGAATTGTAAGAAACACCATTTGCAACAGACACCCTAATTGAAAGACATCTTTTACCCTCAACCCTGAACCGCCTAAGCCCCAATCAAACTCATATATAGGATGCCTTCAAAGAAACTTTCTAATTCGCTTTAAAGGAACCTTGAACCATACACCCGAAACCCCAAATCCCCAAAACGCCCAAACCCCCAGACCCTATATGAACCCCCAACCCCGGAAGTAAAATTGGCTCAGACCCTTACAGATGCATCCCTTGCAGGATCAACCCTAGACCCTAAACCCCCTAGCCCCTAAACACCAAACCTTCAAACCGTAAACCCTTAAACCCTAAACCCCACACGCCCAAACCCCCCAAACCCCAAACCCAAAAGAGGGCTCAGACCCTTATAGATCGATCCCTAAACCCTAAACCCTCAACCCTCAACCCTAAACCCTAAAGGAACCCCTCGCCCCGAAACCCTAATCCCGAACCCAAAGCTCAGACCCGCTTGATCTCCGCAGGAATCGAAGCTTCGCCTCTCAGCAAACTTGTCGGCAAATCAAGGAAGGGCTGGGGGCACGGTTTAGAGTTTTGGGTTTTGGGTTTAGGGTTTAGAGTTTTGGGTTTTGGGTTTAGGGTTTAGAGTTTAGGGTTTTGGGTTTAGGGTTTTGGGTTTTGGGTTTTGGGTTTTGGGTTTATGGTTGAGGGGTT